TCTGGTTCTGTTACCGTGTTCTATATTTTGGCGTCGTCTGCAAACAGTATTGTTTTTGGGCCTAAAACTTTAGGTAGATCATTTATGAATGCGTGAAATAGACGGGGCCGAGTATAGACCCTTGTGGAACACCGCGGGTGGCATTGATAATTCCGGATATGGAATCAGAAACACGAACTGATATGACCATTTGTTGGATGAATGCTCTAATCCAATCAAACATGAAATCTCGAATGCCGTAATTGTAGAGCCTCTATAACAAGAATCAGTGATTCACCCGATCAAATGCTTTCGAGACGTCCAGATAAATCACATCCACCGCATCCCCTTTCTTCGAATGTTCTGGTCCATTCATCTCGAACAAGAAGGATCGCTTTTGCCTGAACCCGTGTTGAGCTGTCGAATGAATGTTGCACCAATCGAGGTGTTCCACCAGAGAATCGGCCACAACTGGCTCCATGACTTTCGATAACAGCGGAAAAAGGATTACAGGTCGGTAGATAGCGGGATTACTACGACAACCACCTTTGTATATGGGCGAAATAACTCATTGTTTCCACGGTTCTGGGAATGTTGCTTGGTGGAACATTCGCAGGAACAGAATGGCAAGCAGTTCGAATATATGCTTCGACAAAAAGATAATGAATCTTGGGTGTATATTGTCCGCACCTGGGGTTGCACATTTTCCCAGAGCCATTAGTTTTGCTTTGACGTTTTCAGAAGTAAATTACACGTCGATCAGCAAAGGGTATAGAGGATGATGCAACCGGGGATACAGCTTTATTAAATGAATAAAACCGGGTGCAAAATGCCACCTCAGATTCATATTTACGCGTCTCGTTACACGTTCAAAATCAGTGCTTTCGTCCAATTTTGAGCTATTGGAGAAATCGGTAGCACTTAAGACGTTTGTGCACAACACTCATGCTTTCGATGACGGATGATGGAACAAAACGTCAAGAAGGTGATTTTGTCGGCGAGCATCTATTTTTATCCGGCGGCTCAGAATCTCACCGCATCCAGCGATTTACCAATCACCACTGTTTTGATTTGTGGTTGTTGTGTGAGAATAATCGCCAAACCGCTGGTATCGGATTGCGGATTTCCACACGGTTTTCACTTTCATCAACTCACCTATCACAAGGGTACACTGACACACACACACAAAGCGTTGTCCGTGAGGCTTTCACGCACGCAAACCACGGCAATCCTATGAGATCGTATTCCCATAAAACGTATTCGAATAGTCAAGAAATTCACGAATTGCTGACTTGGTGTGCTACACACCAAGCAGGTGGATAACTCTTTTTCCTGTGAAGGAGGTTTTTCGATCTAATGAAAAAGTTCAGAAACTTGCTCATTGGAACCTGAGATTAATTTAACAGTAGAATAAAGTAATCGCATTTCTAAGCGTCTGCCACAGTCTTGAATTGGATGACTCGGTGCGTGAAAAGGCAACTTTTCAATACTAATAGATCCAATAAAAGAAATTTAGGCAGAGACCTATCGAAGGTTTTCGGCTAAGACAAAATGGGACGTACTTCGGCCTACTTTTTAAACGCTTAGTTAGAAAGCTGGTTCACTGACACGTAAAAACGTTTTATCAAACGTTTATCATTTTTCGAATCCTTCATCACACGATGAGATTCATCATATGATTACTTTTGAATCAAATTTCCTTGGGCGGCGTCTTCGTAAAA